AGGCAGACAGACACAGGTAGACACAGATAGATAGGAAGAGAAGCAAGAGAAGTGAAAAAACTTGTTACAGCATATTTTATTATTGTTTAGTTATTAACAAGCTGTATATTATTAATTAATATTACGATTAAAGTATTTTGTAGATACCACGCGAGTCTGTGTAGACGTTTTCCACCATCACCGAACAATGAATTTAATCTCATCGTCGAATAGATTAGATGTTTCTAAATATGTATTTGATCTTCTCTATCCTGCAATTTGTTTTTCTTTCTTAGACTTTTCGGCTGATAATCTTATTCGATTGTAGTCATTCATAGTAATCGAAGTTAAGAAATGGCATATAAAAGAGAACGAATTATTCCTATGTTTTCTTCTTTCCCTTTCTTGTCTTGTTGAAATAAAAATCTTACCTCATCTGGAGCACCGTTTGTAGATTATTACGGAGGTGCAAAAATCTTTGAGTGATAAATTCGATCGAGTGTCATTATTGTTAATACAATAGCAAGTATCGAGCTTTGTGTAAAACCTTCTTCTACATCTCTTTTGCATACTGTGTACAATTTTCTATATACATGTGTATATGTTAAATCTTTATGACTTTATTTTACCTGTAATCAAAATTTCGAGATAAACCGTTTTACAATGTAATCTATCTTTGTTTTCTATGCAAACAGCCGACCAGTTAATACATGTACGTCGAGTCATTTCGAGTTCGAATATTTTAACCATAATTTACATTAAATGAGAATTTCTTTAATATTATTTCTTCGAAAAATACATGCAATTAGCTTCGTAGTTGCTTCTCTCAACTCTCGTTGAATTTCGCAAATCTCATTCCTGATCATGTTTCAAGTTTCTAAGGATACTTGATCTTTGATTAGAACACGATCGATTAGTGGCCTTTACTTGTTTACAATGCGCGAAGAAGACAAAGTGATGTCTCGGCTTTATTTTGTCGACCCTTCACGACGAAAGGGTTCTTCTTGCAGAGTGAATACGCGTCGACGACCCTCTAATTATTCCTCGAGATCGACAATTTGATCGTCACCGCGTTTTTTCACAAACGATTGTTACGCAATCGGGAAGAGCATTTTTATATTTTGATTGCACTTTTCGATACAAGCCTTGAAAACTGCCGTCCTCTGTGTATCGTTTTCGTCACATTGTAATCAACGATTACATTTCCATTTGTATTTTACAATTCTCTGAAATTGTTCGAAACGTGATACGTATTAGATTGGTGCAAAATCCGAATAAAAGTTTTTGTTTGTAAGGGGTGTAAAAGGCGCTTTAAGTTAGCAAATTTCGTTCCCTTCCTCTCTAGTTATTAGGAATTTAGAAAAATTGGAAAAGTGTGATTTCTTTTAATTTAGAAAAATCATTTTAGATTCTCATATTGTCAGTTTCGAAGGGGTGAATAACATCGTGTTGTTCCTCGGAGATCAAACGTTCTGTCATTTATTTGTCGTTTACTTGTTCGCTTATAATAATTTTTCATATCTCTGTTAGGTAATTCACGCAAGGCTAGCGTAAATATGAAAGAACGTCGAAATTTGATAGGTAATGCATACGTTCTGTGTTGTCTTTAATAAACTTACTGTACCTGGATACCTTTTTAAGTCCTTAATGTATGAATACATGTAAATCAGTACGTGAATAGTTTTATGCAAAACTTGGATAACCCGTTTCCAAGTACTTGCACGATTAACATACTTTTGATTACGCTTTCGCTAAAGTCTAAAGTTATATTAACGGGCGGTCGACAACAGAGTGTTGTTCTCGTCACAAACTCGGCATAGTTACTTGTTTGTTCCTATTTGAATACGCGTTTACATTCGTGAACTAATCGTTTTCTTTTGCCTATTCGATCGTAGGTTTTTCATACTCAAAATATATGTAATGCATTCTTCGTTCTCTTTCGTCGCTCGCGGCTTAATCAAACAAATTTACAAAAGCTGAAGCAAGAACTGTTCTATCTGAGGTTCATTCTTCTTAAACGTAATTAGATATTTAGTAATCGAATAGTCTTATTAATTCAAGAAAATACATAACTACAAGCGATTAATTCCACGTTCACAATCGTTGATACTGTATTACGATACAAAAGAGACATCTGTACCCTTTGGAAACAACCAAACACCGATAGAAATGAAGGTAATTATTTAGAAAGGTGCCGCCATCTTGTATTTAGATGATCTTTCGATACGTGTAAGGCCTTAGTTTCTGAGACGTTTGCGAAAAACTGTCGGTACCGTTGCAGCGAATTCTGCTTATAATCGTGCGTCGGTGAGCTTACAGCGGCCAAACAAAACAACGTTTAACCCAAACCTAATTCCCATCTTTTGTTCATAGTTTATATAGTCATGTATTTAATACAATCGTAGGCAGAATTCACCGTAGTGGTATCGACAATTTTTTGCAGATATCTCGGAAACTAAGACCAAACAGCGTTTATATGCAAAGGAAAAAGTTATTCAGAATGTTGATTTCCTCGCACATATTAAAAAATTATCGAAATCTAAGATGGCGGCAGTTTTCTAAATGATTACCGAAGTAAGTATCGATTTTCACTAATACACGTTATTAAACACGCAACGACAAACTTACGTTCATTACAGTGCACAAATCTGAAAATATGAATCTTTGCCTTGAAATTACTTGATTTCTTTAATCCTTCGGAGGTCGCGATTAACCTGACTTTTTTAAAATAAATATTTTCAA